TGGGCAACCGAAGGGAACGAGGGACAGGACCGCGCGTTCTCCCCGCTGGCCGGGCGGCTCCTGACGCCCACCCCGGGACCCGCCGATGCTGCTCCCGCGGCCGCCCGCGCACGGAGGAGCGCCCCTCACCTGCCCCGCGGAAAACTTTCCGGGCCGCCCGGACAGGACGGCAACAGCCCGAGGCTGACGGAGCCGCGGCTGTGACTAAAATAGGCAGAGGAGCCGCGGGAGCTGCGGGCGGCGCCAGCGGGGCCGGCCCCGAGCGGCCGCAGCGCGCAGGCGCCTCCGCCGGGCCCGGGGCCGCGGGCGCGCCGGGAGGGCGGGAGCGGCCCGGCCCCGCGATGCTGGGAGCATCACCCCGGCGCCCCTGGGAGCATCAGCTCGGACACCCCTGGGAGCATCACCCCGGGCACCCCCGCCCAGGCCGGGGCCAGTGGCTGCCGGGCAGCGCGCAGCCGAGGCGCACCAAACAGGTGGGGAGAGGCACCGCGCAGAGGTGCAGCCGGAGCCTGCGCCCGGGCAGCCTGCCCAGCTGTTGTGTGGTTAAAATTAGAAAGGCTGAATTCTCCCCTAAACCTGGGGCAAGCGGTATTGCCCCTACATGGTGTGTCAAGGAGCCGCAGCAGCCTTTGTAAAACTGCTCTTCTCAGCTCGGCACCTGCTGTGGTTGCTTGGTGATGTTTAAGAGATGTCACCAAGTTTGCTCGTGTGGCAGTTTGACAGCTCCCAGAAACGGCGTGCTTCCACAGCGGGACGTGTCTGTCCCCGCATGTTGGCGTCGGCTCTGCCCATGTCCTGTCCAGCCCCCGCGGGCGCTACCAGTCTTGCAGGACGGGAGAAGCAGTCACCGAGCGTGCCTTCATCCCCAGGAGGCTGATGAGTAGCATTCAGTGATGAAAGGCATTCCAGCCCACCTCAAAACCTGACCGTCAGTGATAAATGAGGACTGCCAAGGCAGAAAAACCCTTTCAATACATTCTGATGAGCTAGCTACAAAGTGGGCTTTTCAGCAGCCAAGAGCATATGGTCAGCATTATTCTTAAATATTTTTGGAAAGCATACAGGATCCCAACATGTTTCTGAAGTAACAGTTAAACATGTACACATCACATGTGTCCGGGGAGGCCCTGCCTTTGTCACAGTTATTCTCGGTTTTGCACCTTGGAGAGGAGATCAGGATCTCTTCAGGAATGTGTGCCAAATGAACATGAGTTTTATGCATCCTGCTGCCTTGCGTAAGATCTGATTTTCAAAAATATATTATGAAATAATTATGAGGGACTTGATTTGGAACGGTTTCCTCTGACTGGCCAGCCATTTTCATGGATGTACCTTGTCTTTCCTGAGTTATGCAGAGTAAGTGAGCTGGAAAAAGAGTAGGAGTAACGAGTCAGGATAGCATGGCTACAGGGATGGTCATGAGTGATAGTATCTAACATGTGTTTGAGATTGACAGCATTCAGCTATGCCTGCTGGAGCAAAGCCAAGTAGCGTCCAAAAGCTGCACAAAGCAGCCCATCAGAGAGTTCCTACCCCAATCCAGACTGATGTGTAAGCCTTTTCTAGCATGTTACTGAACATGAAGCACAGTTTGTTCTACCGGTTGTGTCTTTTATAAAGTCTTTTTACCTTTCTCATTACCCTCTAGGTCTTCTCCAATTTTGTGGGAAGCCTTGGTGGTAAACAGCATGTGCCTAGCCCAATGCAAAATAAAAAATAAAAAAGTTTGTTAGAAAAGCTTGGCAACAAACTAATAATATTTGCGGCCATGTGACACTGTAGAGCTTTGTCCTGATTGCAGCTAGTCTCTTGGGACCTTCATATGATTAAATGCCATTTCCCCTCTGCAGCAGGGCAGTAAAAACCAAGACTACATGGAGGTGGTGGCATCTACCAGTACAGCTGTCAGCAGGAAGAGGGAAATGGGAGAGGAGCTGAGAGATGCCCCTATATCCTGTCTCTGCAGGAGGACCATAAGCAGGTGGAGCACATAGACATGGCTCTGACAGACTCTAGTCTTGGGCTGTGGTGTGCACCTGTGCATAGAAGAAAAACTTTCCCTAACAGAGGAAACACTGGCATTAATTTTATATAATGGATTATTGGCCCTTAGTTTTACAGATAATATTAGAGAACATTACCTATACTTATACAGATAACAAACATTCTCTAAGTAAAAAGTACTCAGTGGAATTTATCCCCTTAAAATAAGGTCTTATGTAATGTAGGAGAGTGGGCTGGTTTAATTTAATTAATGTCCTACTGCTAAATCACTGTAAAGATTGCTTTAACCTACCTTTGTCAACAATCTGTAGGTTCTTTGAAGTCTGCTAATATAAAATAATCTGACAGAGGCAAGAAATAAAAATTGTTTGCATTTACACGGAATGAGGAATTGACTTTGGACAGACAGATCAATTTTTGGAGATTTGTGTTGAACTGATGCATTTTATTAGCAGAGACAGGTTTAATGGTGTTACAGCTGTTCATTGATGCAGGCTTCTTCCCCTTCTTCTGCTATTAGATTCTTGATAGCTTAAGTACTTCTCCAATCATACAGTTATTTTTCACAGTAATAGTCCACAGTAGAAAATGTCACATGGGTGTTGCAAATTGCTCAGTCTTGTCCCTTATCTCCAGCAACCAGCTTTGTGATCCTCAACAGTATACTTTAATCTCTTGGTGCCTGCCTTTTCCTCTGTATTCCAGGGAAAATATCATCCTGCTGATAATACAGGAAGGTGTTGGACCTCAGAAGAGGACAGGCAGAAGTTCAGAGGCACAGCTGAGACCTGAACCACCCTCTCCTGTCTCTCAGTTTAGCTTAGATAAACTTAAAGGAAAACTTTGTTAAGCAGATGAGGAAGAAACTTTTCATGAAACTGCAAGCACTGTGCCTCTTCCAAATGAGAGCCCAATGTCACAGCCTTTTTTAGGCAAAGTTTTCACTAAAGAGAACAAATGCTTTGTATTCAGGATCCCAGATGTGCCAGGCTGACAGGGCTATTTTCAGACAATGGTAAGATCTATGAAATGTTTCCATTTATAGTTTCAGGAAGCGTACTCAGCATCTACTCTAAACTAATCTTTTAAATTCCCTCCATAGGGTCTGTAAGTGGGCTCCTTTAGAAAGCAATTCATCCTGGGTGTATTTGACAACTGTCGGGAGTGGGATGAAATACACCAGCAAATCCCATCCCACTTGCTGAAACTTTGTGCCGTATAACTGAAAAATCACACACATTTTCTGCAGAAAATTTATTTATATGGGTTTTGCCTGAAAGCATCCTCAAAATTATGTTTTATTGGAAGGAAGTCTGTATAGAAGAGATGGTAAATGACAAATACTTTCCCAGCTCTTTAGTATTCTGGAGGTATTTAACAGGAGTATGTGCATTCCAGTGCATGTTTAGCTCAGCCCTCTGACAGACACTTTCTGATGTATAGTCAGGCAATTCTTCCAATGCAAGACCTGCAGGAAGGGTGTATCCTGTTAATACAAGGAGGCTTGTATTCTTTTTGTTTGAATCCAAGATGTAAAACACCACATTCCAGGGCTTCCAGGTATCTGACTAATAGTATAGCAACTGATTCTTGCCAGCTTAAAGCCAGGAGCCAACTTTTTTCTAAAATAATCAGTCAAAGTATTCAAAGTTTAACAGACGTAGATGTTTATCTAAAGGGTACATGATCCTGAGGTATAAGGACAGAGTAAAATTGTTTGCCATTAAAGTTATCTAAACTGTGTGCAGTAAACAATTTATTCAATCACACTGAACAATTATCCCTGTTCCCAAATTATGCACGAGCAGCTCCCTGCTGACACTTTATTTGGTATGTTCATTATTTGAAATTGCTCAGTGAACAGTTTCTATGAGTTGCTTGCAAGTGATTTTTCTGGGACTTGATAGAAGGGCCTGCTATGTTTGCTCTGGCTCTACCTAAATCACATGATTCCCCAAAAAAACACGAGAGCTGATACAAAATGGGTTGGATTTCCTAAAGCAGAGCCATGGCACGCTTGTCGCTGCCCTGCCAGGACAGCTTGCTAACGGCACTGGAGAATAATGGGAACCTGTCCCAGGGGATTTGCTCCTTTCTGCAAACAGAGGAGTACCAAATATGGAGTCTGACCACATTGCTTCCCTGGAACTCAAATAGTGATGGACACATTGCTCTCTGTTAACATGAGGCAGCTCTTCACACAAAACTGGAAGACAAGTTAGAGCCATGCTTCTGCATTGCATCTGTCCCCACCCTGCGGGACAGCCCAATTTTAGGGGTCCCCACTACAGCAGATTTGGCAGCACTGGGTGAACTGGCTGCGATTTTTCTGTTCCCTTTTTGGACAACATCCACACACGAATAAAGCTCAAAACAATCATGGAGAGATGTCTGTGCTAATCCTGAAGTAAATGCATTTCAGCTGCAGCTCTCAACATTATCTCTGCAAAGACTCCTATGAATTTGTGTGAGTCTGTGTGACTGTCTGTATAGACCAAAGGAACCACAGATATTGTCAGAGTACAAATGTATGCATGCTTTTGGGTGTTGGTACAGTGACAGTTAATGTTTTGCTACAGCAATTAATGTTTTTTAGCTGTGCATTTTAATATTAACTGTGGCTGGTTTTGAGAAGCAAAGGCTAGGGTTGAACCTTCAGGGTGTTGCATCATTTTATAGGAATTTTAAAAATTATTGACAAGGATTTAGAATTTTATGTAAAGATTTGATAAAGAACTAAATAACAAGTGTTTAACATCTCTGGACAGACAGACAGAACTGAAAAATAAAATCAAAAAACCTAACTTAAAAACTTGAGGAACGAGGACAAAAAAGAAGTAGAGGGAGGCTGAACATGAGTCTAAAGAATTACTTTAACAAGTGACAGAGAAAACATACATGATTTGATAGTGAAGATACTCCACAGTGAGGGGAAAGAAAAGGTAAACACATTAGCTCAGAAGAACTTTGAAATGGAAAGAGATAACTTTTTAAAATTTAATAAACTGTGCATATTGTAAAGGAACGTCAACATGTGTGCTGAGTTAGAGCATGCCACAACTGCTCCTTGCTACCCTGATCTTTAAGAGTAAAGGCAAACACAGATTAAAAAAAAAAATTCTTTTAATTTTAATGAATAAATAAGACCAGTCTTCTGAATGATGTTTATTATACTTCTTTGCTCTGTAAAGAAAAAATAAACTAACAAAACCCTATTATATAGGGTTAAAAGCAGGGATACAGACTGCAATAAACATACATGTATATGTGATTATTGCTTTTGCATGTAGCTGAAGTACATAGACCACTGTAAAAAGCACTTTTGGAACTAAAATGACAATCAATATAGTTAACAAAAAGATATTAATAGTTTGTAAAATCAAAACCAATGTAAAAATGTTTTATGTATCAGTATTTCCTGTATTTTTTTCTATGAGTACTTACTCATGAACTCTTTAAATAAAGAATATATTTCCTGTAAGAACACCATATTTTTGAAAAGCCGTAATTAAACAATAAAATGGAGACTCAGTGATAAACAGAGCAGAGTGCTGGATATCTGACTGTTTTTAAGAAGCACTTCATTCCCCTCACTACTGAGATCTGCTTGAAAGTATCATTTGAGAGGACTCAACTTTTCTGTAAATGAAAAGGAGACAGTTTTGCTTCATATTCAAAATAAGTATTCAAGATATTTTATCTCTTAGTAAAATAGAATAGCTGGATTCCACAAAAGCTTTAAAGATTTCACTGTGAGAGAGTTAGATGACCAAAGCACAGCAGCAAGGATTTCCTGCACAGCACCTGTTTTATTGGAACTGCTGATACCCATCCGTGCGTATCCTGGCAGATGTGAACTGGCTTGCCTCACTTTTGATATGGATTGTTTTTAATCTACCCAGTGTGAGAGAGTACATATGGGAAGATACAGGGTCATATCTAATGTGTTTTAAACTCATCCCAAATCTTATCTGCCAGTATCCCACCCCTGTCCTACAGTTGGACACAGGAAGTCCAAGTGCAGCACTGGGTATCTGGATTGTCCTGCACTCTTCCTAAAACCCACCCAGGGAAATATTAAAGAGATATGTGTGCTTCATCCTCACTGAGCCCAGATTCCTGCAGGCTGCTTGGGATCACCCCACAGAATCCCTGCCTGGGGACAGGCACCTGCTCACCTCCTTTCACAGACCTGACATGCTTTGATGCTTGCCTGTGAGGTGCAGTTTCTGTAGAAGGGGAGGGTGCTGCCCACTTCTATACTGTTACATGGTTAGAGCATTTATCCATTAAATGGGTTTTTTGCCTCCGTGTCTTTCTTGGCCTAATGTCCCTTTTACTCCCAGAAAATTATTATATCTCCCAGATTTAGACAAGTTAAGGTGGAGAGTCACTAGTGGATACAATGAAAAGTATGGGATTTGCTGCTGAAATAGTTATTTATCACCATTATTTTATTGCAGTTGATTATTTATATGACTTAGATGTCTTAGTTCTTGGTCATCTATCTTTTATCACCATTTGTTTTCAAAATCCCACTCAGGCAGTGAAATAGTCCTGTTCCTACAAGACACCACTGATCCCTCAAATTAGGAACTGCATTTCAACTGACAACTTTAAAAATATTGCTTGTGAATCCACAGCAGAAGAATAACTGCTATAAAATCCTTCTGCTCTCACAAGGTTTTGGGAAAGTCCCCTTTATTTATTTATTTATTTTTTAAAATTTTTTTTCCATCCCAGAGCAAGGTTTAACAACATTTCTAGCTTGCAGAAAGATGATTTGGGTCGAAACCCTTTGCTGGCAGAACCCTCTGCCACGTGACCCTCTAGGAGGACATTGCTAGCCATGGTTTGGGACACGACCCCAAATCTAGAGCTGAGTGATGACATGCTTGTGCTGCTTTTCTCCTACACACCCCTGCTGATGAAGCTCCACCTACATAGTTTGATTAATCAGCATGAGGTGGCTTGATTTACATGTCAAGTTCAATACATCTTTTGATTCCCACAGAAGCAAGCAGAGACTGATGGGATAAAAGAGTCTAAAAGAAAGGAAAGTTAATCTGAATTAGACAAACAGAAAGAAAGCATGTTTTTCCATATGAGCCCTGAACCTATTATATTTTAATGCATATTAATGTAAATAAAGTAAGCATTTTCAAGAGGGATTAACAAATCAGTTTAATATGGTATTTATTCTGTTGTATAGTAAAAAAATCTGTTATGCAGTAACAGCTATGGAGGAAAAATATGCATTCAATTATTACAGGAATAGAAAGAAAAATATTACTCTGACCATGTCTGAATTCAGCAAATTGATAATAATTTTTTCATTTCCTATTTAAATAGTTTTCTTCTATATAAAGAGCTGCAGATTTGTTTCACTTTTAACACATGGTTTGCAATATCAGCTCATACGAGCAACACAATATTGTGTTTTAATACTTCATGTACATTGAGACCAAATATATCTTATATTTATCACTCACATAAGCAAAACATATAGAGCACTTTTTCCCTGTAAATGTAGCATCAACATATTATTTAATTACTACAAGCATATGTCTTTTTTGTGGTATGGCAAATCTGTGCAATATCATCCAAGCTTGTATTCAGCTTCCCCAGTTTAATCCGAGGGGAGCTCATATCTCTGATTTGCTTTGTTGCAAGGAAAATAGTTCCTGAAAACATAGATCCTGGATGGCCCTGCTCAGCCACAAAGCACAGCCTCTATTATCACAGGCAGCTGAATAAAAGAACCTGTTTCTTTAAACACTTAAAATTTGCCTTGCAACAGTAGATTGGGCTGTATCCTCTCAGGTTTTTCCACAGTTTCTGTAATTTTGAGTGTAGTTTTATGATGGAACCTGTTACCTGTACTTACACTATTAGTAGTTTAAAAAATACTACAAAATGAAAGAATTCAAAGGTCAGTCCCATGCTCTTTAGTAGGCAAGACTTGTTTTGAAGCTCTAACTACATATTGCTGCACCCAACAAACTAATTTGCCAGAAGTCCAATTTGAAATAAACCTCTCTTGGATAAAATTTGTATGAACTTTCGTTGTCTCTTCCACTACTCCTCCTCCCCCTCTGTTTTGAACTGTCCTAGGCCATACAGTTTCTTACCTTATGCAGAAAATTTGAACCCTTCTGCAGGCTGTGAGGGCAATTCCAGCATGATGTCCATATAATTACAAAAACTTATAAAAATCAACTTATGAATGACCACATGATAACTCTTACCCATAGCAGCATATAAATGTAGACACAACTCCACAGAAGGTTATGGAACTGGTAAAAATGTAAAATGTGAGTAAAGGGGAATCACTGTAGGATCAAGAAAAGGACTCACTGATAGCAACATGGACTCAAGTATCCACTTGTTTAAACCAGTTGTGAAGGAACCTGATCACATCACTAAGTTATTTCAGAGCTGTAACACGGGCATAAATTAGGTCAGAACTTCATCTAGCTCCAAATGTTTATTAACTTACAAGTAATCACAGAATCATAGAATGCTCTGGGTTGGAAGGGACTTTTAAAGGCCATCTTGTCCAACCCCCTTGAATAAGTGAGGATATCTGCAAATAGATCAAGATGCCCAGAGCTCCATCCAATTTGAATGCTCCCAAGGACCAAACATCCACCAACTCTCTGGACAGCCTGTTTCAGTGTTTCATCACACTAATAATAATAATAATAATAAAATTCCTCCTTATATCTAAATATATCACAAAACATATTAATGAATTTAAAGCCATTACTCCTTGTCCCCAGGAGTAATCACAAGAGGCTCTGCTATAAAAAGTCTGTCCTCATCTTTCTTGCAGGCCCCTTTAAGTACTGAAAGGCTGCAATATAATGTCACCTGGAGCCTTCTCTTCTTCAGGCTGAGCAACCCCCACTCTCTAATGCCTGGGTGTTTATGATCTCACAAAACTTGTCTAATTTTGCTGTCATCATTCTGAATATACCTTCATTTAGGTAGATTATACAGCCCTCCCAAAACACTGGTTTATAAGTCGCATTCCACTGTATGTTTAAAAGTACTGTCCAGATTAAAATAAAAACACAGGTAGAGAGAACTTCTGTCTTGCTTCCAGCCATTTTGTGTGTACTTATATTATTGTAGATCTCTATTTTACAGCTGAATTTTACAGCTGAAATGTTCTGCTAGTCATGTCTCAAACAGATGCTGGAAAACTAGAAACAATTTTTTAAAAATGACTCAAAGCCCAGAAAGCACAGTAGCAACACCTAAACAAGATTAGCTAAGAGTATGTTCAGATATTGACTCAGACATGTCCTGGTAGAGATTTCTGACAGTAACCAATTTCAGCAGAGAAAAGCATCACAGAGGATTGTGTCTGGGAAGCGTGTGACAGAAACTAAGGCATATAACAGTCACAAAAAAGAAAAAAATTATCAAAGTATGGCATGAAGCACCCATCATTCCCCAGTATCTTTCTAAGCAGTATGCTACAATTTAAATAGAATATATAAGCTTGATATAGAAATTGGGTGAGTAGGACTCCTTGGTCTTATTTTAAGGTGAAGATGATCAAGCTAATTAACTTCAGCAAGGTCAGAATTTAGTAAAGACAAGTTCTCGAATAAATAGGCCAAACCCAAATATTCAAGAAAACCAAGGAGAACATTAATAAATTATTTCTATTACACCCAAGTCTAGAATAAGATGTCTTTTATGCATTTTAAATATTTTTATGTTTGTAGAGTGTTACACAAATGTGTATCCTTATAACATGCTGCCAGCCTCTGGCACTTTGTGCCTTCATCTGAACAGGTCATTAAAAGCCATCAGTGAACTACTTGCATTTTTTCCAATTCTGTTTTGGCCAAGACAAAGTAGCTCTGTGACTCAGGGACTTCATGCATTAAACAGTACATACAGAACACATTGCCTGGAAGGGTTATGAGAATGATTTGGGGATTATCACATTGCACGCTGGGGTATTTATGTTTTGCTGGTTTTCCTCTCTGAGGAAGCAACATAAAGCTAAAAGCAAAACTTGTATGATCTTATCTGCTCTACACTAAATGGCCTTCAAACAGGTAGTGTTTCACATCACTCCTAATAGCTTTTTTACACATACTGCAAGATTATCCTTCAAGTGTAAGATTGTATGATCATTTTAAGTGCTCTAGAAACAACTCAGAGGATCTAAACTTATATGTATACTCACAAACAGAGAAGCACACAGGGGTCGTCCTACCAAACAAGCCAGCAATTTTAAAATATTAAAAATATTATCTACTTCCAGACATATCAAGCAGCAATCCATTCTCATAAAATAGTAATGCTTCTTACTTTTTGATTACTGGCAGGCATCAGGCAGAGCAGCAGGAAGGTGAGTTAGCAAAGACATTTGGACACTTCTCTTCAAAGGCACAGTGACCCCGAGGGTCGAAACCAACTCCCTCCTACTGAAGTGCGATCTGAGGCTCCCTTATGTCATTAAAACACCACAGAATTAGGGAGAGAACATCTTTTGAATCAAGAATTTCACAAGCATAGGAAAAGTGACTCTGGAAGCTAAACACGAATGTGTCAGTTAAAAATTGTATTTATTGCTGCAGTTGTTTTAGTCTCTTCCTGACAAACATAGGTAAAAGGAATATTATACAACAAACTCCAATGGTTTGGCAGTAGACTGATTAACATTATTTATTGTACATGTCATGAAGGGCGCTGACACTGCAGGACCCCAGGTCCTGTAGCATCACATTCTATCAGAAATGCTACACAACCATTTCCCTAAGCTGTATTTGAAGCAGTTACAGCTATTTTTCTAGTGCCAGAAATTACACTTATGTTTATTTTCACGTAATACCTCTTAAGGACAGTCGGAGAGAAACCAATTACTCATAGGACAGAATTTGTTGTTTTGTTTTGTTTGGGTTTTTAACAATCTTGCTGTGCATTTCAAAATTTTTCATTTCTTTAAGAAACAAACACAATGCAAACATTCCTTAGTCTTTCCTCTGCAACATTAATCATGTAAATTGAGAGAATGGTCACGTGGCATAAAAAAGAACATTATAAGCCAGTTGCTATATTTTGAAGACAACTTAGTTGTTTTCATTCACTGTTCTGACTGTACTTCATTTTGACAACATTTTTTTGAGGAAAACATAATTACAAATACCATGGGCTTGCTTTAAAGAAAAGACAAACAACAAAACAAAACAAACAACACACCACCACAGAGGCCACCACAATGCAATAAGACCTCATACTGTTATGATTTGTTCTCCTCCAAAACAAAAGAGATGAAGATCAAGAGGAGTACGACAGAAAGTAAACATATTGCACAGACAGTCACAACGCAGAAGCCAACCTGCTGGCTTGAGACAGAGAATTCAACCTACTCCAGTTAACATAAATGGCACTTGTCAGTCAAATTTGGCTTCATCTGCTTTTGTCTCTCCGCTCTTCTGCTCTGCCACCTTCCATCTCCCTCCACCGCTTCGAGGAATGGCTGCAGCAGAACTTTCCGGGCTAGGAGGGCGCGAGGAAGGAGCCGCAGTTTGTGACCACCGCGGGCGTGCGGCGCGGGGAGGCTCGCTGCAGCTGGTGGCCGCGGTGCGAGGCCGGCACGGGAGGGCTCTCGGGCAGCGCAACGTGGTAGAAGTTGGGCAGGCGGATGTCGTACCTGAAGCCCTGGCCCACGTGCACCCTGTCGTTCAGGGCGTACAGTTTCTCGGCGATGTCGCTCCCAATGAGAACGGAGAACAGGCGGGAGATGAAGCGGTGCTTAGCGAACAGCAGGTAGAGCTTCTTTCTCCTCCAGGCCACGTACCGACAATCTGTCTCTGCTGTGAGTGTCACCTAGAGGAGAGAGAATTGGGCAGCCGGGTGACAAGGTGGTGCTGCACCCCCCTCTCCCAGCAGAACCTGTCTACTGCAATCAGAGCCTTTTAACCGAGCCAGAGTGCTCTGGGAGGTTACTGAATGCAAAAGACAAATGAGAAAGGTGACTGGATATGGACTAAGTGATCACATCCAGTTAACCTCAGTGACAATACGCCTGTGCCCATATGGCATGCCTTGTTCAGTGCCACATGGATGCCCTGGTTCAGCCCTGCATTCCCTGCTCTTGGCAGCCTCAGCTGAAAAGGCAGGTCTAAAGAAAGCTCTCGACAAATGCCATTTGTCCTCATGACAGCAGACATCAGATCCAACACAGGCAGGAGCCAGCGTGTCAGGCAAGAGACAGCAGCGCCAGGGCTCACAGAGCGCAGGGGCAGCTGCAGCTGACACCGTGTCCCATGCTGTAACCCGTGCCAAGCTGTGTCCCAGGCACGTCTTCCCCTGGCTCATCTCCCACTGGGAAACCTCTTCAGCACCAGCTTCTTCCCACCCTGAGGAAACCCGGCTTCTCAAGGCTGAATATCAGCGCAGCCAGAGAATGCAAACAGAGCCTACCTCAGCTTTGAGAAAAGCCCTGTTTGTGTAACAAGACACAAACAGCAAAAGCAGTCCAATGGATAAAGAGGACTTCCCAAACTAATGGGATGCCACTCGTTTGCATAGGATCACAAACGAAACCCACAACTGAATAAATTTATTTCTAAATCAAACAGTGCTTAAACAATTTCCAAAAAAAAAAAAAAAAAAGAAAGCCCTTAACTTTTACCTGAAAAATTCCCTCTTCTGTGGGCCTCAGTGAATCCCATTCAGGAGAGTCCAGAAATTGAAGAGGAAAAATATAATGTAGAAACTCCCCATCAACTGTCACTCTGATCCTACCAAGATAAGATGTGTTAATTTGTTAGTACTACCTGTACACCAGCAATGACTACCACAAGAATGTGCTATTTCTACTGTCTGAGGAATTTAAACATAGCTTTGAAAGCATGAAAAAGCAATCAATGGCCGATTATAATTATCCTAATTATATTTTTGAACCCAACTTCAAAAATAAGTTGAAAGAGAATACAAGACAATCATGCAACTGAAATGGAAATCTTTCCAGGCCTTACTCAAACCACATCATTCTCTCTGAGGTAGGTCTGTGCAGTGATGCACAAACTTTGCCATTAAAAAGCCACCATGCACTGGAAAGGTGAAAGACCAATGCCCACAACAGCATTTACCTGCTTCTCCTGAAAACCCTGGGATTTACTTCTAGTTTTGGCAAATACTCATTTTAGAGAGAACAAAATGCAAAAACTGGGAGTGGCAAGCAGGAGTGTCCCATGGCATGTGTTAGGTAGACCTCTCTCCATGTTTAACAGGAATTACATAGCCACAGGACTGCAGCCAGAAGAACAGCCTGGCATTATGGGATCTCTGTGTAAATGCTGTGGCCTTCTGAAGATGCCAAAGAAAAACTTCCTTTCCTTGCTACTTTTTAAATAACATATAAATTTGAAGGCACACAAGCAGCCCTGTACCACCATGGTGAAGGGCAGCAGGAACTCTGGGTGATCACTGGCTGGGCATGTAGAAGGATGGATAACTCTCCTTTGGTAAGACCAAAAGCAACTTCCAGGAGGTACTTCCTAGAGCGCTCCCAAGAACTCTGTGAACCAGGGTGTCACTAAGGAAAACTGCCCACAATCCATATTGTTCATTGCAAGTAGTCCTAAATCAGCTGAGTGTCAAGCTGCCTACAGGTTCCATCTATCCATGCAGCAAAAGGCACCCACCAAGTGTCCCATCACCTCTGGGTGTCCAGCCTATTCTTGTGGTGGTCAGGGGCTGCACCCTGCTTTGCATACAGTACAAAAGCTAGTGTTTCCCTCCAGGAAAGCACCAGCAAGGCTGCCAGAAGGCTCTCCTGGAAGCAGGGAGTACAAGCAGGTGGATTTACTGCCTCAGGGTCTAACACAGGGCCACAGTATACAGTAACTGTAGACCCAGGTCTGCAAGTCTTGATAAGGCTCAGCTACATCCTCTTGTAATGAAAGGGCACTTTTAAGTCTTTTTCTCTTCCTTATCCCTATCCTTCTCCCACCCCCTTGAAAGCAACCGAATATAATCTATATCACAGTCAAGATCTCTACTAAACAGAGTTTATCTAAGTATATTCAGTTTTGTAACTAACTTTTTGTCTCATTTCAGATTATACTAGTAAAGAAAAATGGGATAGATGCTGTGCTCATCAACTAGGCAGTTGACAGACAGCAAGCCATAACTTCAACACTGAAAATCCACATTTATTCCCTTTATCTGCCTGACCTGTTAAATTATGTGATACAGCAGCCTGGAAAAGAATGACTTCAAATTCTTTTCTTTATGCTATTTCAGATTCTGTGCTTCAGATTCTATGCTAGTACTGTCCTAGACAAGTGTATTTAACCTATTAATATTTATATTACTTGCATTAATAGTTAATCTATTGTTCTGGAAAATAAACATACAATACTCAAACAAGGGGTTTTTTTCCTTTTTTTCTTTCATTTTCAATAAGGAGAGGAAAATAAAGATATTTGCAGAAAACCTGAACAAAGCAATACCAACCTGCCTGACACAAGCAAGGACAGTTTGTCAATAGGTGTTTTGCCCTGCATGGCATAACAATGTTCCTTCTCCAGGGTAATCACTTCTGCATCGCAGCACAAGACAATCTTCCTGTACACAGTCAAGGAAATTCCCAGAGGCTGGAAGAGAGCACTGTAGAGTTCCTGGAATTCTCTGTCAAAGGCAACGCTCCGGACTTGGTAGGTAACATAAACGAACTGGACGAAGCATATAGCGAACAGTACAAAATTCCAGGAGAATATATCAGCAGCACACACATCCAGCCAAGCCCAAACAGAAGAGCAGAGAAAGCCCAGTCCAAGCAAACTGAAGACATAGAGGAGCCCAAAGAATCCACTTCCACCCATGAAGCCCACGACAAAGAAAATACTGGCGAGGTGGTAGATAGATCCCTCTGCCTGTTGCTTCCAGGTGGTACACGTAGGATGTGCATATATCAAACTTTCCCAAAAACTTGCATTTTCTCCCATGGCTGGAATAATTTTTTGATTCAGCCGAATCTTGAAAATTTTTGTTTATGAGATGCAACTAGTTGTGGTTTTGCTTTGGTTTTCCATTCTTACAAACTGTGTTCAGTGATCACATAACATCAGGGTCTCTTGGTAGTAAAGTTGCACTTAGGATTTCCAGCAACTAAGCAGCTAACATTCTCAGTGCTGTTTCTCGTCAGTTCATGCATTGTTTTGACTTTGGTCATGTCATCTGTAGCTTCATCTGATCTGGACAAGTGAAGAAGAGATGAATTACTTATAAAATTATTTTCATCAATTAAATTTTATCAAAATTTTATTGCCTAAAACCACAGACTGCATTACGATCCAATTACACTTGAAGCTCTGTGATTCCAGGATCAAAATTTAATATTCATTCAGCTGAAGATCCCGTTTGCTGTATCTATGATCTGAGTAGCAACCACTGAACTGCCACTGAATCCATGTAAAGCTGTGTGCTGCACTCACAACATCCTGTGACAAGCCTTTGTACAGCCTCACTGCTGACACGGTAGTTGGATTTGTTGGTCCAGACCCTGCTCCCTGAGAGCATTTTTAAATGTCCTATCCAGGTCTTGAACAAGAAGAGACAGTGAACTCTTCTTCCTTGTTCACCTCCTCCATCTCTCTCTGCATTTCAGTCAAATCATTCTCATTAATGGGTTGAGCAAAGCTCAACCCGTCTCTGTTTCTGGGGACAACAAACACCACAACAAGGGAAACCCAAGTGTCACAGGGGATGATCTTTTCTACTCCAAGGACAACAGGCAAAAAACCCCATCATATATAGGGAAGACTACAAAGCTTAAAGGCATCTTGATACAGATTATGTTATTAGAACATGAAGTAAGTAGTCCTGCAAAATACGATTCAGGGGACATTTACAAAGCAATTTTACAACATTCAAAGTTCTACATCACAGAATTTCATGCCATGGACCACATAATTTTATTGTTCGACACTCTAAAATGTGAAACATGTTATTCATTTTCATATGGTGATATATTCCTAAGAGTTTTCAAAGGAAAACACAGAACCAAGAAGTATGAAAGAAACTTCAAGATAAATCTAAAAACAAAAAATCAAAACCAGCTTTCCATATCTGTCTTTTAAAATAAAAATACACACTTCCATGTGAGATTATACATGGTAGAAATTTCAAAGCCAGAATATATTAGTGGTGTAATCAGTACTGAAACCTTCCAAAGCCTTACTGTCTGATTCTTTTCCTGGTAGAATGGCAAGGAAACAAAGAACTATCTTGTTATCAAAATTATCAGATTCTCTGGAATATCAAAGTAGTTTGGCTTTTTTTCCCCTCACAAGAGCCACAGAAGTCAATACTTTAAAAGCACTGCTGTTGCAGTGAAGCACCCTACATCATTCATCAGGGCTTTTAGTGGTGCTTCTTTTACAGTGACAGGTCTAAGAAATTAATACAGAAAATTTGTATTGTATTTCCTAACCACCACAGCATTACTTCTTTTAAGTTTACTCAAACCCCAGCATTAATTCTATGACTGAATAACAATGGTGCCAAATAAAGACATAAAGTCCCACACAACTGAGCAGCAGAGCTCAGAAGAACAAGTTAGGAGGAGACTGTCCCTCTCTGAGAGTGGTGGTAGGAAAGTCACTGGACCATAAAAATACCACAGCTAAAGAGCACAGAATCTCTCCAAATTACAAGGCTCAAAATCCTCCTGCAGTTTAAGAACCAGAATTACAAGAATAAGGTAGTTTACAACTAAAACCTTTGCGGTTTGTTTCTTTATTCAAATGCTCTCCTCTGATACAGGATTCCCCTCAGATGTAGGATTTATCCCTTGGAGACTGGGAGATGGAAGCTGCATCAGATATAAAGAAGTTACCTAGGTATAGTAAAGTCATGAGGAATTTTAGGTGGTGCTTCTGTGATCAAGGGGTAAGATTTTTGAATCAAAAGAAAATAAAACTGGAACACGCAGTTTCCAGACCTTGTGTTCTGAATCCAGTCAGTATTTCCATCACACAGTCAGAAATCAGTGGCAGAAGTTTTTTGTTTGACTGATTGTTTGTTTAAAACAGAATCACTGATAACAGTGATTTTGGATTATTGTTGATACTTCTACTCTTCTGCCAACATTTTGCTCTAAGCAGTTTTACTGAAGACCCTAATTTCTAAAAGAAAACAATAAAAATCAGTGTTTTGAAGGGAATCATGACTGAGGAGTTACACTGGAAACTATATGCATGCCACAAACTAAAACCACGGTGGAGCAGTAATTTGCTTTTTACATTACCAACATATTTTCATCATGTAATGTCACACATTACAATAATTTGACCCAACATAACAGTAATTTCACAGAATGTATGCACAATTTTTAATTCAAGTATTGCCTTCTCAGTCTGCCCACACTACAGCTCACAGCATTTCTGTAAAGCGTTCATTGATGACAAGATGGGCCAAAGTAATTTGGAAAGAACAGCGTACCACCAGGACATGGATATAGGCTCATCACACACAAAGTCCTGAGAAAACTGTTCCGCATTTGCAACTGTTCATTTTCAGAATGGGACCTCTCTTCCAAAACCACTGTGTGGAAAATTCCCACTTATTCCATTAGTTCTACACAATGAGAACTTTTACTGTGCTGCAGCATCTCCCAGACTGGAGAGGGCCTCTCTCCTTCCAGGCAAGACGAAGGGCAAAGGAGGGAGACTAGTGCTAGTCCAAAGCACAGCCTTACCAACACAACACTCTCCTGAGCTACACAAGGTGTGCAGGAAAACCCAAACCCTCTGGAAATACTGACTGACAAAACCCACTCCTAAATGGGACTCATTCCTCAGAGCTGTGGTGAAGAGCAGGCACGCTTGCCACCAGCGAACTGCAGGCAGAAAGAGAGGATGCAGCTCTTCTCAAATAAGAAATTATCCTAATGTTTGGGAGCTAAAAATCATTGGCAGTTGTAAATAGAGCAGAGGCAATAATAGGTATGGGCCAAAGTATAGTAAAAAATCCAGTTCTGAAGGGTATTTAGTGCTAGATGAGGCCTTTCACATTTTTCTTTATAGTTCCTACAAGTCCAAAATTTAAACTCTAATTAAGCCATTCATCTATTGCAACTGAGGTTGTGGGGGAGAAAAATCCCCCAAACCAAAAAATGCAGCAGCTGTGATACCAACTGAGTCATCCTCCACAGCAGACAACATTACCATTTGTAAGCACCTGGAGGGGACACCATCCTGTCACTGAGGTGCTTTGGCTTTCTGCTTTGTTTGATGTCCTGCTTCGTTTGCCCTGGCTGTGGTGAACAGCTATTGCTACAGGTTCATCTGCTGGTGATGACCCAGCAAGCAGGAAAGAGCATTTAAAACGCATGCCTTGGCTGATAAAGCTGAAGAACTGTGTCTTCCCAAGCAGACACTGAGCACTTTCTACTCCATCCCAGCCCATGGAGAAGGAGCACCATGCATGGCACACTCCTGCCATGGGACTGCCATAACCAGAACGACACACACTGACATCTGTAGGCTGCCAAAACCCCAGCTTCATGCATGATGAGTCCTCCCAGCTCGGGAAGGAGATGTGCCCTGCCAACACTGCCTGAATTACTGACATGCTTCAGAGTGTCTTGCCCCACCACACATCCATCTTCTCCAGCAGGAGCAGATCAAGTGATGTGAAAAATCACCGCAGGCTAGAGATGTGACCAATACACAGTGGCATGGACTTCTTTAAAATAAACAGCAGTGCTGAGAGGACTAATTTGCCATCAGAAAGTGCTGAAATCACAGAGTTTGCTGGAGTTTCAAAGCCGAAAATGAAGTATTTCACTTATATGCTACCAAATAAATACCTGCTGGCAACTTAAAATTTCATATAAACAGTACACTGAACCAGTCAAAACAGAAAGAATTTGCATTGTACAAATGCACATTACAACCTTCCCCCTCCTCAAATGGGTGTTTCCCCCCTACACTGCAGTGTTCACACAAAGAATTACCTATTATGTACCTTTGAAATTTGCTCAAGAACCATGTACTTTATCCCATTTTTGTCACTGATGATTCAAATTCAACTCTGAGAAGCTCTAAGTGTTAGTTACTGTGTCTGGATCACAACAATTCCTGCAAAAAAGAAACCCTAAAAGCCCCGAGGCCACCAGCAGTTCTCTCATTGGTCTTTTTTAATTAAGTCAAAAGTAAAGCTATTCAGAGTTTGAATAATCTATTCTTCAGTTGCCTTATCCCAAGTACTCTGAAAGAAAGCCCCCAGCACTTTGACAATGCACATGTGGAGCTGTACATGCTAATCATGTAACCAGCCTGAGTGAATTGTTTGCTACAGGTTTGGAAGCAAAAGGAAATATTTTCCTTTACAGCATATGCACTTCCTAGCACAAAATGAGATTATGATGGATTTAGCACACTACAGTGTGTATGTTTATACATGAGCTAGGAGTCACAGCCTGACTCGACACTCCAGCAACTCCACCAGGGAGTTCCTCCTGCCAGCGGGGGTCCTCCTGGCCTAGACACCCCCCCACTTCCACAGGGATGAGCTCCAAGCAGCCCCTCTAGGCTCACAAATTACATCTGGTCTAATGTAATTTAGATTATAAAAAGAAACTGCTCCTTAATTTCATCAAGCAGTTTCACATGCAATGTAAAGGCATATGTCAATGGAGATACCCCTTCCCTCCACTGCCCTACATCCCTGGAATCCCCTCTGTGGCCCCTACTGACACTTACCACTCCCAATCCCTGTTTGTGCTGCATGCTTTCCCCAAGCTACTTTCCTTCTGCAGTGGGGCTAGATACCCCAGGGACCAAGAGAACCAAACTCTAAATTGCAATGCAGCATCAAACTCGGGGCACAGAGGAGCTCTACACCTACAGAGAGCTGTGGCTACGTGCCTCCAGGCAAGTACGGGCAAGTTAACTGTTGGAACCCAGGACATTCCTCTGACTGCCCTGGATGATTTGAGACCCTGGCAAGGGGCTCAGAGACCTTGGCACGGAGTCAAAAACACTTGTGCTTTTGATTTTAGCCCATGAAAAAAATTCCCAACTTGGTGTGAAGATTTAAAAGCCACAACAGTTTGAGTAGAATGATAGTTAATTTGTCACAGGGTGAAAAAGTAGAATTTTGGGGGTTTTAGAATGGGGGTTCAAGAGGCAAGATGGAGGAATTTGGGCATATCCTGTCCTTTCTTCTCCTTCTTCTTGTCCTCCACCTTCTGCTGTGATGGTGACACTTCTTGATTGGTTTAGAGTAGAGACAGACTGTCTAACATAGGTGATAGGGATTGGAAAATTATTGCTAATAAAGTACACGTAGTTCTTAGCATAAAATGTTAATGCCACCCGAAAGGCGTACAGTGTGCCACAACCTGACCTGCTGGACAGATCTCAGCTGGTCAGGGAAAGAATGTTATAGATAAGGAAAAATAAACACCCTTGTAAAGCAAAACTGACGAATCTCGACTTCTTCTTCGGTTGTAGGGCTGGGAGAAAAAAGACTTTCTACTACCTCGGGGTCATCTCAACCTCAGAATCCCGACAGTAAACCAGCTATTTTCAGTGATCCAGTGAACTGTCCCTGGGCCCACTTCAGGCTGAGAACATGCATGCAGCAATAAGGACAGTAACCAACAACAAAAGTTACATTACTTAAACTTCTTAAGACTAATTACAATACTGGAAAACACAAGGTTTCCCCAACAAAATGCAGCCTGCAGGAAGGTGGAAGGAAGCTGAGGAAGAAAAGGACTACCCAATTTAAAAGACAACAGATAATCAGTCACTAAAAAGTCACTATCTAGTGACTCATATTCAGACTTCAAAGACACACAAGCATATATAGTGAAGGTAATTAATTAGAAGGATGGCTTTAAAGATTTCCTTTGCTAGGAATTAAAGAAGTTAAGCAAAGCCTTGGAGCTGGTCTTCCCAGAGAAATCCCAAAGCCTATCTGAGATACCAACTAACAGCTACTTTAGACAACAGAAAACACTGAAGACAGTATAATCTCTGAAATTATTCCTCCTGTAGACATTATAGATGAAATTTTCATCTGTGTGGAGCCAGCATCCCTTCCTGTGAATGGTTTTCAAAGAAAGGGATGTGAATGCTTTACTGTGGAGCCTGTTTGCAACCCGAGCAACCAAGCCTCAGGATCCCACTCCCTGGGTGAGCATCCTCATGGCAGAGTGAAGAGGGACTGCAGTGCAGTTCTGTGTCACTCCTGCACAACATCACAGCTGCAACAAGAAGGGCAGCAAGTGACCCACCCACACGAGTCAAAATGAGTCACTGGGAGCAGGCTCACGGGAGGAGAGAAGATGGATTAACCTTGGCTTGAGGCAGGCATCCCGTGTCCCATTCATGTCTCATGGCTGCCTCATCCACTGGATCAGTGTTCTGAGCAGAGGCTGTCACATGGAAGGTAAAGTGTCTGAGACCTTAGGAAGAGTCAGATCACACTCTTCCTAGTCCTTCCAGTACCTGCCTGGGCTGCAATTCCCAAACTGGACCCACCACATTGAGATCCTCCATGTGGTGTGATACCTTCCCAGACAGTAATCCTTCTGGGAATGCTCAGAGCTGCAAAACAGGCAGCTGGGGCATGTGCAGCCATCAGTGGTGCTTCACTGCCTTCAGGGCAGCTCTGAGACACGACCACCAGCCAAGCACGACTTTCCAGGGCCAAAGCCCTGCTCTGGTCAGGCAGAATTTAGGCTACCATGCTTAAGGTTGTTCAACGAAGCAGCCCCTTCAGGCAGCTGCTGCCCAGCCCTGGAGACACCCCAAAGCCACCTCTGTACTGGAGTCAACACTCCACAGCAAGAACCCAGCAAATGGCACCAGGCCAGCGACTCCTTGTCCTCCTCACCAAGCTGGGCCTGTCTCCCATCCCCCTGTTGCAGCAGATGCAGAGCTGCTGTCTCCAAAGCACAGCTCTTCAACAGGAGGCGTTTCATGAGACTTTCCACTCCTTGAGCTTGTTTGGGTGCAGCTGGGAAAGCCTGATTTTGCCTACAATTTGCTTAAATTCCTACTAATCTTTTTAGGAAGTGGAAAAAAGCTGGGCAGAGGGAGGCCCTGAAAGAAGAAGAAATGCCACAATAGTACAGAAAGAACAGTTTAAGGCTCATTAGGAGCACTGCATACAATGAAGCTGGTATTATTTAATCTTTAGTTATTTAAAGACCAGCTAATATACAGAACTTCCAATACTTCAACAATTCCTCATTTATCACTGTAAAATATACAATGCAACCCTCTGCGGTGGCAAAGCCAATGTTGAAGATGTTGTCTATTTTATTATCTAGACAGTAGCTTAAATTAAAAAAATACGTATTTCTTACAATTGGAATCAGAATTAATGAACCATAAGTAGATGTGGTATTCCCAACGAATTGAGAAGTATAATCCCCTCTCTCACTTTTTAAAGTTCTTTTGCTCCTAGAAACACGAATACGGAATGGCAGTCAGACATTTTTTTTAAGATCACCTGCACTTGAATAAATTTGAGCAAGGCTCTTGAATATTGAATGGCATTACCAAAAAAACCAATTCAGGTTGTCTGTTTTCTTTAGAATAAAACATGAAAGAAAGTACAAGTTCAAGCTTCTCTCCAGTTCAACTTTTAATAGTGGAGAAAGCAGCCACAAGGCACATTTCACAAGTGCTTTAGAAGTGGGTTAATGAACTGCAGCTGAACTCTGCGGAATTCCGCTTAAATGAGTTTGTATGGTGCAGTAGTGCCTTTCAATGGGAATGTATTCCCATGAAACCAACCACCTGACAGGAACTTCATTTCCCAAAGAAGAGGCTTGGTTCACCACACCATAGCTGCATGCACAGCTGGCTTATGGAGATGTGCCATGAGCCATGAGCCCAAACACATAAACACAGGCTGTCTGTCATCATCTGGAGACACCAACCAGAGCTCTTCTTTGAAAAGTAGGGGAACACACTAAAAGGACAAAATAAAATCTCCTCTCTGAAGAACCCACACACTTAATAAAAAGATCAAACATAGCTCCAGTTAACAATGCTTTTCTTGAATCCCTAATATACTATCTGTTCTCAACTTGTGTCACAAGAGCTTTAAGATATCTGTGAAGGCAAAGTTTGTGTCAGGAACCACAACTGACCACAGTTACCATCTTCTATTTCACTAGAGGACTTGCAATGTACTTACTATTTTGCAGGCAAGGCATTTCTCTAAAACTTGACATTTTAAGCTACTTTATTATTTGGCACCACACAAAACTTTGTGGAAATCCTGTACAGGACCAGTTCTGCAAAAGCGGAAACAATCCCTTGTTTTGCTGTGGTCAGTGAAGACATTTAAACTTGTATGTGTAAAATCATATTCCCATTAAACAACAAAGTTAGCAAGAAGCCTTAGTTCTGGAACCCGGGTTCCATCAATAACATCTCTGTAACACTATCAGGTAGCCCGTGATTCTGTGTTACAGGAGATCTGCTACATAAAATATTTGCCCAAAAAGTGATTGACAGTCTAAAGGTACACAAAGATTTATACAACAGATGAAGAAAATGTGACAAAATATTAAGAGTTTGGAAGAATATGTCTGGCAAAAAGAAACTGTAGTTTGGGGAAGGGAAGTGCTTTGTGTCATTCGTTCTATCTTCGGAAAGGAGCAACTGCAAATGCGATTTCAGGGTTCATCTGCTCTTACCATCAGTTGATGGAGAGGGAGAAGAATCAAATAACGCCAGCCTACGAGGCAAACCGGAGGAAGAAATCCCCGGATCCCGAGGTGGTTTTGTGACAAGTAGAAATACTCCCCGAGCCAGCTCTTGTGTCAATGAGCGGCAGCACCCTGACAGAATCAGAAACCCGCTGTCCTAAGGGACAAACCCCAACCTGAGACACACATCGAAGGGTCCCACTTCAGACAGAGCCCGGGCGAGGAGCAGCGCTGCGCAGCGTGTCGCGCTCCTCTCCAGAGGGGACACGGCAGAGCTCTGCAACTTCCAGGCGGGGCTGACTCGGGAGCTCCGGTTACCCCGCCGGGCACGCAGGGAGGGAGGGCTTCCCTCCCGGGACAGTGACCCCTTGTAACCCCGCTCAGGACGCCGCCGAATCCTCGTGGCGAGCAGCCCTCCCGGGACCGCCGCTCCCGCCGCCGCCCCTGCCCGCCGCGGCCGTCCCGGAGCGCGGCGGTGCCGGAGTCGCCCCCGCTCCGCTCGCCCCCGGCCCGGGCAGACCGGCGGCGCTCAGCCGGGGTGGCCGCGGCGGCGGGAGCTGCCGCCCGTGCCAAAGGGCACCGGCGGCGCTCCCCCGGCCCGGCCCCGTTCCCCGGAGCTCCCGCGCCGCCGGTGAGCACCGAAGCCGTCGAGGGGGGGTACAGGAGAGGCCGGGGCGGGGAGCCCTCGGGGACGGCAGAACGCTGAACTTGCGCACCCTAAAACCCGCTGCGGGCGCAGCCCAGGTGCCGGGCTGGACGGGCAGGAAAAACCTGGAGCGTCTGGGGTTAAACTGTCTGCAACTTTGGTTTGGAATAAAGGAAATTACAATTCTCTTTCACCTACTCACCCCATTACGGTGTTTCTGTAGAAGGGAGATGGACGCCTTCAGGGTCCCCTTCATCACCAGGCTGGTGCACCGTTCGTGCCCGGGGTTCAAATGCCTCCCCGAGAACACGGAGGTGTCAGTGCATGAGCCTTTCAGCGTGCTAGCTACGCACTTGTTGTGGTCACTACTTCGTGTCTCGGGGAGAGAGAGTTTATTGACGGCGGAGGAGGAGGAGGCAGATTTACAAGTTGTTAAGACAGAAGAACCCACAGCCTATTAAATGCGCAGTTCCTGTTACTACAGAAGCTGTTTGTCAGTAACTGGAGCATAAGCAAGAACATGTTCTAAGTAGTAAGGGTGGAGAAGCCTGTGTGTGTGGCCAGCTCTGAGGTCCCACGGCAGGCTGGCACGCTGGTCGGAGAAGGGGGCACCTTCTCCAGAAGTTAAAGGACATAGCAACCTGTCCTGCTCTAGGTAACGGGATCAACACTTCTGAGAACTTGCTTTCCCGAGGGAGTTCTTTATTTTCAAAGATTTATTAGCTCCATGTTTGCCAGGGAAGAAGATACATACATTTTTGGAATAATTGATTCTCTTAAAACTTGAGAATGCAACGAGCCAGGGCACTTTAAGCTATCCTGAGTTACATATATTCAAATCTTCATTATCTGATAGCAGTACTTATTTTTGTATTTATTATTTTTGAGGAAAAATGTATTTTTGTATATCTATTAGAGTATGTATTAAGGTTCTTGTAGTTAATGAAACTTTTAAAGGGGTTTGCAGTGTAGCTCCAATACTTACCTTCTAGGTGTGCTTTTTCACAACTAGTTTAATTTTAGCAGTATAAGTTGAGAAACTTCTATATTGGCAAAACTGAGGCAATAGTGATTCGGTTTTTTTTCCCTTTTTGTTCTTCATACTTGGGTGTAGTTGAAAGCACTTACTCAGATTTATACCCAGTTGCATTAGGCATAAATTTGGTAATTATATTTACTTTTCACTGGAATGATAACAAAGGGATGAGGAAATACATAATAAAAGAAGAATCCTGAAGTGTTTTATTCAATTTGTGTATCTACTGAGATTACGTTATTCCAATAAACCGCTGTTACATCAATTAAATGATGTTCCCTCTAATCACCATAAAAGAAGCAAGGAAATACTGATGGCATATCTGTAAGGTACTTTTTGACTTGTACTTAGTTGGAAGCAATGGCCATCGTAATCCTCCACAGATATATAGATCATCAAGGAACAAGAACCACTATCATATTTTGATTTTAAATCAGTCAACTCCATGTCAATATTATCTAGTGCTGTAAGACTGAGACTACAAATTGAGCTTCTCAATCTAGCCTTGGAAATCAATCCTGGATGAGAGACCCAAGGCAATAATATGATGGCAAAGCCACCACGTGGTACAAAGACATTGCCTCTGCCCAGTGTGCTTTGAACCAACCACTTGAGTCACCAGATTACACTGATATTTTTTTAATTGCTGGTTGTACTTATATAAAAAGTCTGTTTCTAAAAGGTCAGATAATCTAGTAAGTGTAAAGCCAAATTATAACCAATACTATTCTTTGTAGCAATATGGCAAGATATAAAGGTCATACTTAAAGGTAGACTTACAAAGGAGCCTGTGGTAAGACTCAGAAATCTTCAGATTGGAAATCCAATCAGAAATTGGACTCGAGAAGCTGTAGGAGACTTTGTGGCCCTGGATCAAGAGAGAGGCTCAGCTGTGGCAAATGCTCTGCACAGAGGGTGGGAAGGCAGCTGGCCAAGGGGCCTCATGGGCCAGCTGGGAGTGCATAGCAGAAAGGGCAAGATTAGTTCCAGTTGTGCTGGACAGGAACCTGAACACTTGCAGAGGCATCTTTGGGCCAGTCCCACTGCTTAGCCACGAGACTGGGCATCGTGAGCTTCGGACTGTTTGTAAAGAGCTCCCTCTTCTCACACCTGCTATTGGATTTTTGGACCTTAGACACACCGATACCTGGACACGATTCATCCTGTGAGAAGCCTGGCAGCTCTATAAAACATGCAGGAAGCCTTGCTGTTTGTTGGCTTCTCCACTGCCCTGTCTCCAGATGTCTCTTGTACTGTTGCTGCAGCCAAGGCAGGATTACCCAAGCGGGCATCCAAAAGTGCCCCCTTAGAGCTGGTGCCAGACCTTCCCTTGGGTGTGCTGGCAACTTTCCCCAGGGAGAGGGGAAAGAAAGTTCAGTCTGATTTCACTGTCTAGAAAACAGGCCCATCTATTTCCTCAGCAAGTGCTTAAGGAGGGTCTGACTTAGAGCATCAGATGGCTGCCTTCTGCATTATCTCTGAAGTAAAGTAATGGTGTTCCCTACATCATGCTGTCCTCCAAGAGGAGAAGTTATCAATAACTGTTTAATGGGAAGATTTTTTTCTATTTTTTTAGACTTTTTAAATGTTTAATACATCTGTACTGCATTTTTCTTTCCCTGCATTGTCCTTGGTCAATAAAAATAAGTTATGAAGCATGGGGACATGGTAGCAGGTGGCATGATGTATTACCTCTTTAAGAAGCGATGTTCTTTTCCACTGTGGATGTAATGTTCTTCCCAGGTAGTCGTAAGAGGGCTCTTCTGTAGGAGCTCTTAGTCATTTTGGAAAGAGAATTAAACTCTCTGTGTACTTTGAAAAGGTTTTAGCAGACTTATGTATAGTTAAGTTCTAATGAAACTTCTCCCTTTATTTGTAAGTAATGAAGTAAATAGAACCAGGTTTGCATTTTTATAGTGAACTAATTTTTGTTGCTAACACTTCCAAGCAAGGCATCATCAAGTTGTGCCATAACACAATGCAATAATGTATTTCTGATCATATCCAGCCTGCAGAACTGAGCAAAATTCAAACTGGAAAACTTTTTAAAAATGTCATTCAACTAACAGCATTCCCTGCCAGGTAAAGATGAAAAAGTTTTAATTTACAGTTTAAATGTAGGGAAAAGGTGGGGTTTTTTTGTGGTTTTTTTTTTTTTTTTTTAACACATCAGTAAAATAAAATGCTAAATAGCACATTTAAGTTTTTATCTTTCAGCATGTAAAGGCTCTCAGATAATGGACTTGGAACTGAGTATCTCTGTACCTTCAGCTTAAGTGTGGAGTTAAGGTGGAGAGCCTTGGATGCTCCTTCACCCAGTTTTCCATAAGGAAGAGTCTGGGAGGCATAGCTCACTGTCCAAGTGGCCTCATGCCTTGAAGCAGCCTGACCACAGAGATTTCTTTTTCTGGAAACTGGCTCTTCCCGTCCTGAGCTCATTTCAAACACTACCATCTATAAGAGGTGGAAGAAGTACCCAGTGTAGGATTTAGCTGTAACAAAAATACACAAATGCCAGTCAGTGACTACTGCTGGAGGAGGTATTTGAATTCACTTAATGAGTGCTTTTTTGTGTCTAGGTTTGTAAATGGCCTTCTCTGGTTTCTGTATGTGGCCAGAGTCACTCTGCTCAGGGCACTTTCCATAGCCCTTGCTGGGCTGGACCATGGCAGAAACAGGGTTTGGCTCAGAGCCTTCTTCTCTTGCCCTCAAAAATCAGAGCCCTGCAAAAATTTCATCTGATGTCAAATGCAGGAACAACAGAAGGCTCTAAGAATTCTCTGGCACAAAAAGAAGGGTGCAAAATCCAGGGATGTGTTGAAAGCCCAGTGTTCAGAGCACTCAGTGTGGGAAAGCCCTGCATTTTTTCAAGGTTGTCTCCACTTTGCAGCTAATACACAGAAGTTACAGAATCAAATCAGGAAGCTAGCACTGAAGCTGGACTGTGTGCCAAAGCCACTGCCCCATGGCATCCCTGCCTCGTTCAGGTGCATCCCACAGACACTGGGTGTGTCCAGGTTAGGGTTAGGGTGTGCAGAAACTGGCAAATAGGGCACAGTAAGTGCTTGTATGGAAAAAAGGGATTTAGATTTGAATTGTTCTAGAACTCCAGCTGCTTGGATGGGTGCTTTAACCATGAGTCTGTTGGGGATGTGGCTGAATCATGGCTCTGTGAGACGAGCTGCTTCACTGGGCTGATGTTTGTTGGCATTGCTGCAGAGCTGCAGTTTAGTTCATCCTCTGAGTAAGGTGTCTGCTCAGGAGTGAGAATGTAAAGTTAAAAATACACAGTGTAAACCTAAAAGCTGTTCAAAGCATTATGTAACTGTGGAAGATATCAACTGTGAAAGTGAAAAAGTTATATTATAGTCAGGCAAATAAAGCAGGTACTTTCCATCACAAATGTTTCAAGACTTCAGGAGTGGAGATTATTTCTGTTTCTGATACTCTCTCTTGCTGAAGTTCTGAGCTGTCATCAGCCTCCTACTAGATGTTGCTGGAAAAAGGAAGGAAACCTTTAATTCCCAGCCTAAGCTTGCATGTCAAATATTTCAGTAGTTACATAAAGTTTTCAATAGTTTTTAGATTTACACCTTTTATTTTTAACTCTCACTCTCACTGCTCATTTTGCTTTTTCACCTTCTTCTGGCTCACCCTTCATCTGTTCCCAGAAGCCTTCTGCCTCAGTCCTTACCAGTCAAGCTACTTGCACAAGCACTGTCATTAACAATAGATAAAGATCTTTTAAATAAATTATTATCTTTACTTCAAAAGATCCAGATGACCAGATGTGCTAATGCAAGAGATCTGTTTGCCTGGGGGAGCCTGTGTTCTTGTTAAAGCCAAGTTTCGACTACCTTGGAGTCACACCAGTTGCAGTTGATACACACACAATGCGGTTTACTTCTTGTTTCATCCCCTGTAGCACTGTGTTCTGAAGGTGCATCTACAAAAACCTGTTAGATTAATTGCAGGTAGAAAGTCTGGGTGACATCAGTCACTGAGCCCTAGCAGTGAACTGAACCAAGGTGAGCCCTGGTGGGCAGGCTTGTCATGAAAGCTTATGAAGTTTAAGAAATGCCACTCAAATATTTGTCAAAAAGCCTCGCCTCCTCTTCAAATCAAACTTTTTATCTTGAAGTATTCAAAGAGAGAAAAATCGTTTAGCTTACCAAGCTCCATGTAGATGCAGAAGAACGGCATGGCACGTGGAGAATTCTGCCCATATCTGGACCCATTGAAGTGCAACTGGAGTATGGAAAAATCATTGCAAATGTCTGTTATTGCATGTGCTTGTACTAGTTTAGTTGTAGA